AAAACATGGATTGGTCTTCAAAGCTCACTGCCCTATTAGCTCTTAGAATCCTGACTAGACCCCCAAAGCTCCTGTTAGCAGCCTGACTAACCTATCTAGTGATGGGCATTATTATTAAATTGAAGGCTTAGAAGTCAGGCATGGTGGTACACACTTGCCATCCCAGCTGGAGGCTGGAAGATCACAAGCTCAAGGCCAGCTCTGGCAACTTAATGAGACCCTGCCTCAAAATAAATAATGCTGACGATGTAGCTCAGTACTTTCATGGTTCAATCCCCAGTACCACAAAAGGGGAAAAATGGCCTTACAACAGGGACAAGATCACTGGAGTTGACTGTACTTTGACAGCCTCCTACATAATTATCCAGTGTGTGATTTTGTATAATTTAATTAGTTTTATTAAAGATGGCCATTATTATTTTTCCTGACCCTGAGGATGCAAATGTCATTCAGCCCGCATCATTTCAATCTTTTCAGATGAAAGATTCATAGTTACCATCTGAACAAAATGAACAAAGCGCGCAAGCACATTCATCAGATTCTGTTGGAGGAGGTATAGTGTATAGCCACGTTCTAGTTACAGAATTCAAGCATGCACTCTTTAAGGGTGTCCTTCCCCAGCTCTTGTATGCAATGTAGTAACTGGCAAAAGGAGATCATTTATAAATACGTGGAGATCGGGCCATAATGAGACATGGTGGTGATAGAGCCTGGGGCAGGCCTCAAGGTCAGGCCTACGTATGCGCTTCACTTATTTCAGAAAACAAATCACTGCATGTGAACTGTAAGACAGCTGTGCTGCAGCCGAGCACATGCAGCCAGCCCTTGGGCCCTCCCGTCCCCGTGTCTCCTCACTCTGTGTCTGGCTTCACTGCTCTGTCTACTGCCATCTCGCTGGGTATAGGCTCTGTAACAAGATTTGCATGCCCACCGTGAGGAGCATGTAAGGATAATGTATACTGTAGCTTCCTCCCTTTACTATGAGTTAGAAAAGGACCATCGGGGACCGTGTGTGTCGCTCAGTGGTAGAGTGCTTGCCTGGTATGTCAGTGCCCTGGATTACACCCCAGCACAGCCAAAATAAAAGATGAAAAGAGAAAAAAAAAGACGGCTTACATCAGAATCTCAAGAAAAGGTAGCATGGTCTGGGAGATAGCTCAGTGGTTTAAGTACCTTCCTGGCAAGCGCAAGAACCCAGGTTCAATCCCCAGTACCACATGGTGTGCCAGACGGCCCACCAAAACCAGGTGTGGTGGTGCATGCCTGTAGTCCTGGTGCAGCAGAGGCCGAGACAGGAGGATCGCTTGAGTCCGAGCTGCGTAGTCAGACCTTGTACCAAATACATACATACATACATACATACAGAAAGAAAGAAAGAAAGAAAGAAAGAAAGAAAGAAGAAAACTTAGCATTCATGACGTGGGTAAAGAAACAAGAAAATGTTATCAGAGGAAAAATCAAATGCTGTTATGAACTTAAAGCCTCTTTTCCTATTAGTTTATCAAAGATGTATTAAATGGCTACATGGCTACTAAGAGCTAGGCAACATGCTGTTGCTGGGAATATAATAAAATAATAATAATAATAAACTCGGGTCCAAAGTCTCACCATCTGTTCCAGAAGCCAGATGCGTAAACACATAATTACTATACAGCGTGTTAGATGGAATCACAGAAGTGGTAGGTAGCAGCGGCTAGTGCAGGGGACAATTAGCTTTGAGATGCAGGAGTGGAGGGTGCAGATACTGCTGAGAAGTTCCCCAAGGAAATCCCGTTGAGCTGGAAGAGAAAGGGCTACTGGGAACCCTCGAGGTGGCCTTCAGAGAGTGGCCATTCGACAGAGAGAAGTTGCATGCCGGAGTGCAAGTGGGAGGCGGAAGTGGAAAGCGGAAGCGCTGCCTGGGGGGACACTCGTAGGGTGCCGTGGCGGGCTCTGTGGCATCCTCACCCCAAGGGCCTGCCTGGACCTATCTCTACTGTTCTGTACACTGCTGGACTTGTTGGCCCAGGATTTGGGCAGTGACCGTGTTCTGAAGCCAGGCAGGACCTGTGCTGTGGCTCCTGCTCCTGCGTCTCGTGCCCTCCCCCATGCCAGTAGGAACCTGGGTCCTGCTCTAAAGCAGGTGACCCTGGCACCTGGAAGGACAGGTCCAGCAGAGGGCTGTGAGCAGCGTGCAGAGCCTGCTGTTTCCAAAGCTGGAGGAGGTGTTTCCTTCCCTGGCACAAGGGAGTGCTGAATTTGTTGGAGCTGGGCCCGTACCACAGGAAGTAGTGGGGTATCTGTGTGGAATAAATCCAGGGTCGCAGGAATTCATTTCTGACTAAAAAGGTTTGTTTTGGCAGCCTTGATTCTGCTGGTTTTGACAGGGCTTGTCCAAGTAACTTCAAAGTCCCTGAGCTCGAAGGAGACTCTACTTAGGATACAAAAGGACAGGAAATATTTATAACAAAACACTGAAGGCTTGAATTTCAGGATAAGCAACTCTCGAGGGAGAAGCCCCTTAAATCCCAACTAGACCTGTTGGCTGAGTATTAGCAGCGCCCTGAACGGGCAGGTTGGCATGCACTGTTCCCCGCCATCCAGGACAGCCTGGACACGAGCACTCAGCACTTGCCTGTCGCTTGAGAGTCTTGTTCAGAGAATGGAAGGGAGTTCTGTCTCCACCTTTCACTGCTTGCCTCATCCCGCAAACATCCTGCAGCTGCTGCCACCTTGTGGGCTGGCAGCTGGAGGTGGGAGACAGGGTAGCGCTGTGGTCCCTCTCACAGGCTACCCAGCTCTCCGCCTCGGGGGTTGCCTAGCAGGGGAGAATCCCTTGTTTTCCTTCATTTCTTGGAGTTCATGGTCACCCTCTCAGCACCTGTCTCCTTGGGTCACCTCCTTGCTAGGTTCCTGGGAGAGGACTTGTGCTGCATCTCCCTGGGGAGTAAGGTAGGACGAGGGACATGGGGTTGTGAGCCTGTTGCTCCTGCTTGGCCTCGCTGTCAGTGGCTCCTGTGCTCCTGTCGTCTTGCCTGTCCGGCAGCTCAGCTACCATTTACCCTGCACCTGTTAGTCACCAGTTGTTAGCAAAATCATAAGCCCAAGCCCTTCCTGCCCACAGGGAGCCTACAATTTATTTTTAAAAAGAGACCGTGGACCTAAGTGCCGAAGTGCATCGCTAGATGGTGATGGTGGTGTGATGAGTTTATATTTATTTCTTAAGATCTATCTTAAAACTCATGAAAATGCTGACCTTTCCTTTTGTATAAGAAGCACTTCAGGGGCTGGTGAGATGGCTCAGTGGTCTAAAGCACCTACTTAGAACAAGCTCAGCAAAGCACAGGGACTGTGGTTCAATCCCCCAGCACCACAAGCCAGCCCGCCCGCCACCTGGTGGGCTGAGCTGGCCACACACACACACACACACACACACACACACACACACACACAAATAAATAAAATTAAAAAACAAAAAGAAGCACTTCAGCACGCGTGGTTGTGATCCACAACATAAAATTTGATGAAAAATCAGGCTTGAATCTGTTGTGCTCGTTTACTAGGTGGGTACTGTTTATAGCAAAACTCATAAAACTCAGAGATGAATGTCATCAAGATGATTTTTTTGTTCTAA